TCTCGACAAAGCATGAGAGACACCTGTTTTCTTTTGGGACCACTCTAGTTTTATTTCACAGATCATTTATATTACTGGACGTATTCCGAGTAATGATACTTTTTCTATTACTATTCTTCACTATGATTCGGTACCAAGTTGAAATATGTTTGATTAATTTCCTTTGATACGCAGCATAGTGGATATATATATTTTTTGTATTTTTAAGGTAAGAGGCTGAAAGTGTGTTGACGATAAAAAGGAGGAAATAAATTAAGGAAACGTAAAAGAAAAAGAGATTTGAAAATTCATTCACGGTAGTTTCGATCAAACTGAATAAATGATTCAAAAGAAAAGAAAAAGAAAGAAATTATTAAAAAAATCTTAGCTTAAATAGTATGCATTTATACACTGAAATAAAACTGAAAATAAACCAAACTTTGATAATAAAGATCAGATGATAAAACTTTTAATAAATATCAAATGCTAAAAAGTTAAGTAAAAAAATATCAAATGTTAAAATCTAAAAATCACAAAATATAAATATATTTATAGAAACTTAAAATAACAAACCAATCTAACAGAGTCCTTCACCCAAAATAAACTATACAGTGAAAACTAAACATACCATTTTTAATAAAATGTCCATCACATGGTTCATCCAATCTTGATAATAAGTTATTCAACAGACAATCCTATTTAAGATTTAGAACAAATGAACAGTACTAATATGCCTAGGCCAATATCACATTCTATTTGGGAAACTGAACAAAAACCATGTTTACAGCCTCGTACATTCTGAAGATTGGTTTTATAATATTTGAAGAGGAAATGTTAAATTATTACGTCTAATGACTAATAGATCGCAGTTAAAAACTGAGTGTGAATAAAGAACAACAAAATATCTGTCTAATATTCGATTGCTTGCAAGTTGTTTCCTTCTTCTAGGAGACTCCATAAGCAAAAAAGCATATCCACTAATTATTTAATGATAAGTATTTTTAATTACAACATTAAAGCTTTTCGATTGACGAATTTAATATTGAAGCACTAAGAACAATCAAGAAGTGTAATAGCAAGTTGAGCAATACGATTATCCTCGTGAGACTACAAATCTTGCCACTTATAGAAATGAACTAAATTAAAATACTAGCCCTCATGCGATTATCATATTCCTGAAGTGACGACTTGAGTGACGAAATTAGGTTCATCTCAAATTTAATATTCCATAAAAAACGTACTTAAAAAATTGTATTCATTTTTAATGTTTCTTCAGACAATTTCTATTCATGGACCAACTGATTCCTTATCGTATGATTAAAATTATTGTTTGACTAAACTAATTATAAAGTTTCGAAATTCCCCAGGAAGTCTGCATTCATTGGTCCATCGTACCGCTTCCTCGTACACTAATCTCCACTTGCCTTTAAACCCTAGACATTTTCTATGCCCAAAACAAATACCTGTACATACTAGTTAGTATATATCGAGTATATACATGTGTGTACACGTGATGATACCTCCAAAAAGTGTCTCTTGAATACTTGAATGGTTTTTCTTAATTGATATAATTTTTTCATATATTTTATCAAATGATAAATTGGTTATAGCTCATATTCGGATTAATTGTGTTTAGGGGCTAAGTCGCAATTTTATAATGTTGTTACGATGTAAATTACAAAGTATAATTGGAGACAATTTCAGATAACAAATACAACTGACTAATTACGTCATTCGACCAATTGTTTGGTTGTTACAGGCCAAAGGAAGACACAATTAATTATTATAAAAGGTGCTAAGTAGTCATGTAGGAGCAACCTTTTTTTAGAACAAAAAAAAGTTGTCATGTAGGAGCCAACTTTTATACATGAATCATGAATAATGTACAGTGTCATAGTTGCATGATTATAAGATATCCTATGGTAGGTTTTTTTTTTTTTTGGTCGTCTATTAGAATATATTAAGAGATCGTACGAGTTTTTTCCTTACAATATCATCCACACCATGATCAAAGTGCCACACACGGCAAACCGAGGATTGATCCTTTTCGAAAGAGAGACTATCTAAACCACCTTTGTCCCTATATTTTCAAATCCAAAAAATGCATCCAAATACCTAAAGCTTAGCAACTAAAAAGAGGATGAAACTTCCTCATTCTCAAAGCAATTAAGTAACCAAAGAGGAGCACCTGCAGCAACATAAGATTGCATATACCCATCTTTAGTGACACTCTTAGCAATGAGGAAAGCTCCTCTATGGTAGGTTAATAAAGTCATTTTTCTTTTCTTGAAGAAAATATTGTTATGTTTGACCAATGGTCATGCTATAACGTACTGCTATTGTGAAATACTTATGAAGATCGACGAGAGGATGTTTCCAAATGATACTTATACTACTTCAAAAGAAACAAGGTATTTTAAAATATTGTTTTTCTAATATTCGAATGCATATTTATTAGGTAATGATGGTAGACTATAATTTTAAAAATATAAATGTTATATTATATTAAAATTGGTTAATTAAAAAATAATCCAAATAGATAATGTATTTAGAAATAAATTTGATATATATTTTATATGGGTGAAATATTTTAAACATACATTTTTAGAAAATAGAAGGAATAGTGTTTATTGGTGACTCATCTAATGCTATACGCTATGGACATAACATTTATTATTTAGCTGATACACATTTATTTAAGTTGAATACTTTAGACTATTATATATAAACAATTCATTTCAATGTAAATTAATGTACTTTAAGAGGAATACTTCCGAATTTTTAGATATATTTTTTTTGGTGAAAATATAATACTACTACTAGGGATGTATATACATTAATATATGATTTTGTAAAAGAGGGAATATATTTCTCTTAAATTTATAGCAATAGAGGCTCTATTGGATTGAAAAAAACAGTTTTTTTTTTTGTCAACAGACAGTTGCTATAAATTCAAAAAACAAAACTCCATTGTATCATTCACTATATTAGGTAAATGGTTAGAATATCATTCTAACATGAAAATGTGTTTCTGTAACTCTTTTTAAAACTGTTTTACTTATAACAAAAATGCCGTAACTAAACTTTAGACCACCTAAAATGGATTTTCATATTATATAAAGAGACGTCTAAGAGCATCTCCAATGTAATACTCTATTTTTTTCCTCCAAAATGGAGTAAAAGTGAATATGGAGTAGAAATGCTCCATCCATACTTCATATCCCACTCCATAATGGAGTAATGAACAAACAAAAAATAGATTATTCCATTTATGGAGTAAACTCTATTATGGAGTGGAAAATAGAGTTGGGTTGAAGTGTTTTTTATTCTATATTCTCTTTTATTCCATTTTGGAGTAAAAATTGGAGTTGGGTTGGAGATGCCCTAATACTGTAACCATGTTTATTGTCATATTCTACTATTGCCATTTTTAATATATTTTAATATACGATTACACGATGAAAAGAACCATCGTATAATCCACCGTAATTCGAAAATACATTGGTAAAAGACTAAAAGTTAACCTAGTATTAGCAAAAAGGCAAATGTTATTACTTGGAAATATATTACTTTTTTGGAACTATAGAAATATGTTACTATGTGACCAGATACATGAACCAAGATTTTTAAGGAGGAACAAATTACACAGAATAAATGTGAAATCTAGTAAAGCTTTCATGAATACGTGTAATAAACTTTTAACATATTTTAAGAAATTAAAAGAGGAGAAAGGAAGTGAAGCAGAGAAGTCTCTCTCACCATTATAACAATGTCTGACTTCTTTTGGGTTTCTGTGAGAGAGAGAGAGAGAGAGAGAAACTGATTCAAAGGACACATTACTTGAGAATGACCATTCATCCTGATAAACCCCAATTTTAATCTGCCTCGTTTCTCTTTATGACTACATTTATCTTTCCAAGATTATCTTTCTCCTTCGTATTATTAATGAGTCATGGAATATTACTGTTTTTTTTCAAACTAATGCTTTCGCAACTTATTTCTACTTTATCTTTATAAATATCTGTATAATAATTATAGAAATATTTTTCTTGAAAAAGGTAATATACTTCCTTTATATATAGGGCTATTAAGAAATAAATGAATATCATCTTAAAGTAATACATCAGAATATACTCTATATTTATTAGAAGACATATTTTATTTTAAAAGAAAAGTACCAAAAATACATTACAGATGTTTCTATAATGTAATTTATCTGAAAAGAAAGAAGAGATCTTGGTGTTGACATTCCTTTAAATTTTTTTTTTATGAGTATGTAAAATAACTGCAGGAACTTTTCTTTCTTACTCCATTAGGGAAACATCAGTACCAATCTACTTCTGATCTCCCCCTTTCGTCTCACAATTAATGCTTTAAAATAATACAGTATACAACTGTGTTTTGTCGATAAAATCTACAGCAATGTTTGTAATTCTTTTAGATAGCTTTAGACATCTTTTTTTGGTCAAAGTGCTATACATCTTTTTATTTCGTATCATTTACGTTATAATATTTATAATGTTTTTATTCGTATGAATCTATTCAGTAATGTGTGCTAGTCTTGTGAAAGATATCAAATGTCAAATAAAAGTCCAAAACAAACTTTGTCTCTAAACCAAACGGTTCTTGACTGTTTATAACCATTAAAGATAATTGTTCTTTTCGTAATTTTCTGTATTTGATTGATGAATCGGTTCCTAACCGAATGTGTTCAACATCTGGGATTTTATGGTGGCAAAAGTGAATTTAATATAGTATTGTAGGATTTAATTTATGCTGAGACATTTTTTTATCAAATTGCAGCAAAAGAAAAATCCACCAAGCAAGTCTTCTAAATAATGTAAGAAAAAAAAATCTGATTGACCTGAGCTTTGTTGTGCTGAGGATTTTTTTTCATACTTGTGTGTTATTGGGTGAAAAGTGTCAAAGAAGGTAAGTATTAAATGAAGTAAGGGTGGGTGATATTAATTGAATATTGATATGAAAGAGGAATAACAAAACAAGTTAGGACTGAACATATATGTAGATAGGTGCAGGTAACATATAAAGCAGTAAGGTTTTAAAATCTTTAATAAATGATGTATCGAGAGGAAACAACAAAAGACAACACATTGACAAATCTCCTCACAACCTTTTTAGTCAGAACATCTCAAAACAAACACTTGCCCAATTTCCCATATTATCCAACGATTATGTGTGTATCCATATAAAATATTACCCGATGGAGGAAAAGTTTACTCCAAAGTTTTCTAGGAAAGTTTTCTGAGAAATTTGCTTGGCTTAATTAACAAGACATTTTAAGAGAAAATCACACACGAAAAGCCGATAATTAATTTAATGACCAAGACCATAGGGGTGCTTTTAAAGGTTCATTTTCCCCGAATTTGTTTCACATATATAAAAAGATAAAAATATTAGAGATTCAAGAAGGTCTCATGAGAGGAGGTTGGAAGCCATTGCTCTGCAGCCAATTTTGATGAGAAGTAGAAGTGGAGTTAAAAATCTGATTGTGATGATGAGGAGAGAATCCTGATGATGCTGCAGCATTTGCCAACACTTGGTTCGTCGTGGTGCGACCATCAAACCGGTGGTTCTCAGCCACCGGAAACAGCGAGAATCCTCCTCCGCCGCCAATGTTGTTGCTGCCCGAAAACTACTTTACACCACACAATACAGATTATGTTAGTAAAAATAAAACCGACTGAAAATTTTTAAAAATGTTATTTTTAAAATGTTTTATATCTTATTGTGTTTAATCACTCACTTGGAGATTTGAAGTTGGGATATGATTAACCATTCCGGATTGACCTAATCCAAGAATCTCATTAGGGTGAAGAGAATCTTGTTGGTTCATCTAAATAAAAAAAGAAAAATGTTTACAACAAAAAGAAGATATTTAAGGTAGAATTGTTGTTGATAGTTTAATAAGAACTTCACCTTGAGCCGCATATCTTGACCCTTTTGCTTCGAATTAACCGAGTTTCCCAAACTCAAATCGAGGTTATGATCTTGTTGAATAGGATTCCCTGATGAGTCTACACAAATTAAAAATTCTTGAAACCACGTTCTAACCCACAAGATTAAAGACTTAAAAATATTACGAAATAAAAATTACCGGCATTCAATTCGTCGTCGTATATGCTTGGATCAAAATTAGTCACAGCGTCTTTGCCATTACATTTGATTGCAGCTTTATCGTAAGCCCTGTTGTTATTAAATAGAAAAAAAAAAAACATTATACGATTAAATTTTCTAACAATGTGTTTATGTAATCCAACATAAAGACATTATTACCTAGCAGCTTCAACCTCGGTGTCGAACAAACCCAAATAAACATACCTAATATGAAGAATTCAAGAATCAAAAACTCAAGTTACAATAACAAATCTATTAGAATAATAAAAGAATGAATGAATGAAAGTACTTTTTGCCTAAGAATTGACCCATTCGAGCTTCCCAACGACCACACTTATGCAAAGTGACACCTCTATACTTTGAACTTCCCCGAGGGAAGCCTGTGCTTTGTCGGCGAAGTACGTGCACGAACTCTTCCTTTGTTAAATTTGTCATCTGCTATTATATTAAGTTATTTTAAATCAATATATAGACCTATACATATTGTATAATTTTATTTTTGTTTCTTAGAGGAGTAGTTACCTGCTTCAAGTCATCATCATAATCTTCAATGGTAAAGTTGATATCAGCTTCTACTCCACGAAATTTAATAGCAGCTCGATCATATGCTCTACATAAAGAAAATAAAATACTTTATATTATAGGCATTTGTTTTTGGATTTAAAGTTTAGAGCAGTCAAAGAGAGAAACATACCGAGCAGCTGCATGAGCAGTGTCAAATCCACCTATTCAGGGAAAAAGGTAAAAAAAAATTTTAATTATATGATGACATTTTTCAACAGCAGAATAAAAGAAAAAAATTTGAAAAAACTAAAATAAAAGGTAATATACCTAAGTAAACCTGTTTCCCACAGTCCCTGAATTTTAGAGAAACATGAGGAGAAAATATGATCTTATATTAGTTATCTTTTAAGTAACTATTATTTAAGTAACTATTAAAAAATCAAATTTGAAGATTTTTTTTACTGCAAATAAATTACCAAATATGAGATTCCCATCTTCCGGTTCGCCGGTAAAACGTAACGCCTCTATACTGAGAACTCCTTGACCGTGGTCCACGCCGGCTCTTTTTCAACGGCTGCGCCGGCTCCACCACGGCGGCGACAGTGGCGGGTTTACCCGCCGATGATCCGGTGGCTAGATCGGACTGACAAAACTTTACACCAAACCAGTGAGCCCGAGGAAAGCCCGACCCGGGACCACCACCACCATCATCTCCTACGCTAGTTTCCATCTCTGGAAAGAATTGATGGGTGATAAGTGGGTTGTTGGGTCTGACCCGGTTAGGCTCATCATCATCGGATCCATCTTCGATGACTACAGCAGATGAACTTGAGTTCGAGAAAGATCCGACCCGTTTACCCGGTGAAGAATAACACAACTCTTCAGATTCTTGAACTTGTTCAAGAAGTGTCTGGTGTGGTGAGTCGTTTAGATCCCACATTTATTTTTTGTTTTAGAGCTTTTTTTTGTTTTTGATGTCTGAAGTTTCAAACTCCAATCCTCTCTCTGGTTTGATTCTCCTCAAGGTTGTAAGCTAAATAAGAGAAACCAAAGAAGAGAGAACTTTGGTTGGTAGCAAAAAAAAAGTTTCAAGAGAGAGAAGAAAACTGAAATATTTTGAGAGATTGCTTCTACGAAAACTTTCATTTTTATCCTTTCCTTTATAGTATTTACTTCCATTGCCCTTTCTCTCTCTCTTCACTGTATAAATATAATTCTCTCTCTAACCACTTGCTTTCTTTGGAAAAAAGATTATATTCGAAACAATTCCTCGTATTGGTGTTTCTTTATTTTCTCAAAAAACTTTTCCCACTTTTATTATTATCTATGTATACTAACATCTTCGTTGATTAATCAAAGATTCCATTAATATGTAATTTCATGTTTTAAGAAAGTAAAAGTCCACGGCTTGGTTCGGCAAGCAATCTACAAAAGGTATCTTTTGCAAGAAAATGAATAGTTTGATATATCACTAAAAAACCCCACTATTTTGCCAAAACAGATATACTTTAGCTTTGGAACAAATCTTTTTCTTTGGTTTTTTCCTTTATATATATGAATAAAAGCTAAGAGGATACATATACAAATAGATCACGCATGGGTCTATATATGTTAAATGTGTATATTTATGTACAATTAATAGGTGTTTTCATGATCGGGCAAATTAAAGTAGATGAGATATTAAGTTTATGTTTGTTTAGAGTTAAGTTCCAAAACAGTAATTTCTCGAAGACAAGCAAAATATAGGGTTCAAAAGTAGTTTATAGGAGTAGTTATTGGTTATAAGCTACTACTCTGTTTGTTTCATATTAAATGTTATTTTAAGTTTATTTTTTTCAAAATAAATGGTATTCTATAATTTTAATGTAATTTTTACATTTTTGACTAATTAATAGATTTTTATTTAAACTATTTTTATTTAACAGTCATGCATTAAATAAAGATATTTTAGTCTATTATGCAATATTCTTAATTTCCGTGAAAATATTAAAATGACACTTATAATGAAATAGAGGGAATAATAATTTGAATAAAAACTATTAATAATTTCGAAATGATATTAATTTATTTATGAATTTATTCATTTACCAAAGCTGGATTGATGCAAACTTTTTAATTTTATGAAATACTTTGCAAAATTTTTACCATGCCTAAATCAGTTGATCTTTAACTATCCATTTTCTTTTAATAGGCTGTTCTAACTAGAGGCTTGGCTTTTTGACTTCATGTTCACCAAAATATCAAATCTAGAATTTCTTTTCTTGCTTGAGCTTTACTATAGAACTGCTTTATTTTCTAAAAATGTGTGACAATGTACCTAAATGCACTAGTTGCTTTCAAAGGAGCAATTCTCAATGCTATAGGCTATATTTTTGTAAATATTTTACAAATGAATGTTTCCTTGGTTTCATTTCCATATTTTCTTTTGGTTTTGATTTCTTGAAATTTATTTGCGACAAAGCAAATAAAAAAAAAAAGAGAAAGACTTCTGTCTTGAGATATTTAATTTTTTTACATGTTTTATTGGTTTTGAGTCTTTTAACTAAACACGTTGTTTTGGAACGAGTAAACAATTATGTTGATTTTGTATCGACATTATTTACCGAATTTAATTATAGTTTTAATAAATGATCATCATACACAATTAGTTTCTCACTAACACTTACCTTTATAGTAAATATGGTTTAGGTAGACTATTCTTACCTACAAAAATTCTCAAGTAATTACCATCTCTCAGTTTTCACCTACAACAAAAACTAGTGCTAATCATGATCATTTACATGCTTATTTTTCTTGAATTACCATTTTTCGTCATTTTTATCATAATCTATAATAAAATTAATGCTAAATTCTTCAGTCTTGATTTCTTGGAAGTTTGTGAAGCTGGTTGTTTTGTTTTTTTTTTTTTTTGTTTTTTTGTTTTTTTTCTTTGGTTAGCTTGAGGGGAGCTTGGGGGGTTTTTTTTTGGTTTGGATCCTGTTTTTCAGTTATGTTCCTTTGTTGGAAAATTATGTATGCATTTGATGTAACACTGTTTTTTTTGCTTGAATAAAATTTTACATTCATTCAAAAAAAAAAAAAAAAAAAAATTCACGGTACTTAGGTTCCATGGTAATTGTCAACCAGGTTCTATTCAGAGTCCAGTACAAATATAAATTCGATTACTTAGAAAACGAGTGGCACAGAATATTTGGGGTTAATTTGAAATATACCGGCAATACAAGGATATAAATGTAAATAAATAAAAAAGCAAAGAGATTTTTGGTTATAGCAAAAAAGGAAAAACGAATTATGAGGAGAAAAGGAAAATGTTACCAGAAAAGATCAATCCATTAGTACGGACAACTCCGGGGACCACTTTCATACACCAATGCCCTTTCGTTTCTCTCTACCTCGTATTTTCACCTCACGCGATATTCGTACGCGTGTGTGTTCAACTCCTTTGCTCCGTTTGGTGAGTGTTTCGCACTCGCTCCGACCCGAGACGCTGTTTTGTTTCTGACTACAATGCTGGAGCCAACTATACACTTGGTTTTGTAATAAGAGTGGATTGTTAGATTCGTTTATTTATATTTTTTTTGTGGCAAAAATCGTCATTCTTGACATCACCTCCATCATTTTTTAATTTCTTAAAATACAAAAAATCAGTTACTTCATGACTTTTTGTAGAGAAGCCTCCACAAAAATCAGTATGAAAATATGATCATTTTGTTTTTAATAGAGAAAGCAAATAAGTGAAAAATACAGAAAAAGAGAGAAAGATGAAGGAGAAGGACTTGTGTCGGAAAGGGAAACATACAATTTTATTTCGTGCTATGTTGGGTCCAGAGGAAAGACTGTGCTCTCACAACGTTTTAATCAAAATTTTGAGGTTGCCATGTCACCACGCACTTTGTGAATTTACCACTGAGTTTATTACAAAGTGATTGTAATGACTACAGAGAGTTTAAAAGTAAATAATATGTTCAATCAAACCGAACGGAAAACATTTATATAAGATATATATCGAGGCATGATATAATATAACAAACCCAAAACCAGTGAAACATGCGATAATATCTTTACCTAAGCTTTTTACATTAGACACGTTGTCCATATTTTGAGTGGGATGCAATAACAAACATTCCAATAATGGTTTTCGTTGAACATGTTGCTTTCCTCAAGTGGAAACTACTGCTCTTCTCTCTCCATGTCCCATTATCTCTCTCTCACTATATTTATACACAAACCCACATACAATATTATTAGCATATAGAAGCTTGATTTGTTAGAGACGTGATATGTCTGTCTGAGTGTCTGTGATACATAATCATAGAGATATGTACAACATGTATGTATACTTTTTATGTATATATGCGTTTGTATGTCAATAATTATTAAAGCCCACGGCCCACTTTACAGAGAGATATTCTGTCTCTTATATCTCTTTCCAAATAAAATAGGCCCACAAAAACTATTTATTATTTCCAATTACCCCGTGAAATTTCATTTTAACTACAACAAAATGTGTCAAAAAATAATTATTTTATTTTTCGTCTGATGTTATTAGACCTTTATACTCCCTCGATACGCGACATATATAATATGACAAAATTGTACTCAAAGAGTAGTTATTATTGAACGAAAAAGGTACAATAGATACCACAGGAGATCATTTCTACAATCTATATAGACTCTTATTTGATGTTCGAAAAACAAATACATACTTTTACTCCTGTTTCCATAGAAAATATATACAAATTAATCTCCCACTAAGGCACTAACCACAACGATATCGCGTGTGGATGTTATATATATATGCCTAGTATTAACTAAAGCAATGTATATAGCTAACTCAATCTACTTGCCAGTATGTTGATACAGTTTGGACGAGTAACAATAAACTAAAATTTTAAATATCTCTATTGAATTTCATATTAAACGTGTAATGGGACATTTCAAAAGTATGTCATAAACTACATGGACAATTTCAGCTACTTGAACTAGAATGTCGACACGTAGAGAGTACCACGTATACTGTGGATCTTGTTTGATAATGGGCAAAATATCTTGAATACTATAATCATATGTCATTGGCATAATATGAATACTTATATCAAATACAACGTTATTAATTATTTAGGAGATAAGGATTTACAGCTAAGCTCAAGGTTCTAGATATGTCTTATTAAACAAAATATTATCTTGGAATCACAATCAAGTCCGAGATTAGCGAACGTGGAAACATCGGACGGTATCGATAGAATCTCGATTTGTAAGGTTGTCAAATCGTAATAGGCTTCCAACTATCCTTAAGGAGGATCCGTTTTTAATCTGCTTCCGTGGTAGTTTATTATTCGTTCAATGTGGGGGCCATGTGAGCGAGCTGATATACTCCTCGATGTCTTCACGAGTTTATTTTCCTTTTCCCTTAGACAATTGGTTTTGACTCGAGCAGTAAATAATTAAGGGAAGATTTTTTTTTGTTTTGTTTTGGTAATCTATAGTGTCATTTAGAATTATGCACAACAATTAAAGAAATAATTAATTTTAGATATTTTTATATAAAAACACAATTACATATACAACTAACCACATTGTGATCAATAGAAAAATAAATTTTATATAATAAAACTAATAAATTCTGCATTGAAAACCAAAAATGATATTTATTTTGTAACAAGAGAAATTTTTAATAACGACACTTAATATGAAACGAAGGAAATATAAAAAACAAAACATCAATAGAAAGTAGAATTTGAAGGTGCACAGAAAAACAATACTATGATGATTTTAAATATGTGTTAGTTCTCTTGTCGCCCAAGCGCCTCACATAACGAGTAGACTAATTAATTTCCTACATAATCAATGTATAAGAAAGTAACTAATGACAAAACTGATTAGTGTTAGCAATTAGAAAAGCCATTGAATGTAATCTAAAACAAACTAGGAGCATATGTAGAGAACTTGAATGATGGCTACATGGGTTAATAAAAAAAAAGGCAATGGAAAATAAATAATAAGTGAAGGGTAAATCACCGGATAGGTTGGGGCCAAATTAAGATTTAGGGTTAAATTATTGAGGAGGAAATAAATCTAAAGGAGACGACAAAAAAAGGGACAAAGGGAAACACGTTAATGTACAAATATAGTAAGGAGTCATGAACTTAGGTACGATGTCCATACGTTTTGCGGTCCAAAGACTTTCCTTTTTTGTAAATCTTTGAAATTAACCCCACTTGGTTTCCCAAACATCCTTCGACACCGACGACACCCACACACAATTTATTTCCTTTAATTATGTTTTAATTTTATCTCTTCTTTTAGTACTATTTCGAAACCACACCCAAATGTTAGAACGGTCCCATTTGCAATAATTCACGTTAGTTAATGGAGGGACCAACGAGTTATTCCGCCTTTTCAAGTTTTCATCAATATGGGAATCATTTCCTTTTTCACTTTTTAATTTGCTTTTAATTTGTTTCGATGTTTCACACAAAATACCTAAATTACATGATGGACGATGGGTCAGGCCTTACTGAGGCTTAGGTAAGGGATGCAGTATATGATAATTTCGTTTTAAGTCTGAAGAAAATATCTCATTAAGGGTAGTTGGCAAAAAACATGTTAAACGACAAGTTTTAGAGACAATAAACTGCTGAATTTCATTAAAGTAGCATTATTTGTATCTCTTTCTAGAGGAACAAAAATTTGCATGTAAAATGATATTTATGAACGGACGTGGAGCGAATTTAGTCTAATGGTAACTAATCTAATGATTACAAGTGTTTTGGATCGACATGGTGAGTTGCACATCATCTGAGATTCGATTGTTTCTGTAGTGTTGTTTGGGTTTGATCCTCGAATTAGTTTTAAATAAGTGTTGTACAAGTAACTAAGAACATAAGGCTGTATATATTTTGAATGTTTCGGTAGCCAAGAAGTGGAGTGTTCATGATAAAAAAGGAATACTTGCACGTGGTGAAACCTATTACCATTCACCACTGTGGATGAAGGTACAATGGTTTGTTAGTATTGTTACACTCTAAATTCATTAGGATTACCGATTGCGTGAACTCGATACTTTTTCAACCTATTGATCTCTTTTTTCCCCTTCTCTACAGCTCTAAGAATCTTTGTGGAGAATAGAGAGAGTCACTTGGTTTCCTGTGATAGCTAAAGTCTGGAAATGGGTAAGTGGATCCACTTTTCTATTCATTGAGCTTAACTTGCGAATATGTCGGTTTGGTTGGATGCTTATTGAGGGAATCCTTGTTGCTGCAGGTTGGGCTTGTTTCAGATAATGATTTGTTGGATTTGGACTAATAAATGGGCCAGCTGATACCACTTGGTGTATTTGGTTTCCTTTGTTTCCAAGATATTTTTCCCTTTGAAGTGGAGATATAAGAAAGCTACTTGCTCACATAAGAAAGTCACATGGTGGTATAAAGCCTGAAGTTTCAATGTTATGATGATGACCTAGCGTCTCATTCGTTACGAGATAGCACGCTCAAATGTGAAATGAACAGCAAGCTTCTTCTCTCACCCCTGAAATGTTATTTGCTGCTTTTTTTTGCTTATCTAATAGGTAGTGGAAGAACAAAAAATGCCATGTTCCCTGATGTTGACAGCACTTGCCAAGTATGTGGCCCTCTCTTTTCCTATTAATATTTTTTGAACCTGGTTGCTTTCCGAAACACTATTTTTTTGTTTGTCCTCACATTAATCATCGTCAAGAACATTATGAATGGAGTTGATAACGTGAGAAACCAAGTATTCAATATTGTACCTCGTCGAAGAATTTTTTTATTTATATATGCTATCGACTAATCCGATCGATCTTGGATGGAACATTCAAGTTTGGAATATTTTTCAACTAATGTCAGATTAACATATGTTACGATTCCCCGTATAAATCATTTGAACCAAATTCGAAACTTAGATTAACCAAATAATGATAATTTAGTTTTTAAACGGAACCAAACACATGTCTAATGTAGATACACACCAAATCCTAATAGATTTCCGCTAGACCACTATCACTTGGTTTAGTATTAGAATTATATAGACGTGTAATTTTTTTTTTGTTTTCTTTTTTTTTTTAGACGTGTAACTTGTATCACAAGAGTTCGGCTACTAAGTGAAGCCTATAGTGAACTCTAGAAGCATCAAAGATCCTATCTCAGCTTTTGTTTAACTCTGGTAAGTGGTAAGTCACACACTCCTTACTTTTTTCCCTGCAGGCTGCAGAATCAGCTTCTCATTTGTTTGATGGGTTAGGTTATCAGATGCTTTGGGTATTTGATTCTCACTCAATTATGCTTTAGAAATTTTATTTAGGAAGAACATTTGGTTAACCACCAAAGCAACAACCATTTAAGGTAATTAATTGATTTTGATTTAACCAAATATATCTTTCCCTCGCCACCTTAAGTTTCGTCCGTACAATCGTATATGTGATTATTCGTTTTTTCAGATGCGCCACATTTTCGAAGTTTGAAATTTATTTGCACTTGATAGCTATAGATTTAGTTATGATTAAGAGTTTCACCATGTAGCCAATCAATTACAAAAATAATATAATAAGTTGTAAAACCAAAAGAGTTAGTTGTAAGGTCATGCTCATAATTTGCTGTCCAAGGAAACTGCAAAATGATCAAGCCTTTTGTTGTGGCTGTCTTATATAAAAGGACAAAAACACCGCTGGATCTGAATTTTCACTGATTTAAGAAGACAGGTTAATAATAAAAAAGGATTATGAACAAGAAAGTTGGTCAGGTTTCACGTCTTGGCTCTCATAGAGAAAGAAAAACACACTTTCCTGGTCAGTCTTCATAAGAAGACCATAAACAAGAGTTGAGCATAATTTTGAAATAAGTTTTTGCTGTCTTCACCCCACAAAAGCAAAGGATTATAGGGCAGGAAAATAAAAACCCAAAATGACTTTAGCAGTTACGATAATGGAGATAGACATAGCTTTAGTTGTTAAGATCGGACAAGTTAAAGAAGACCCACTTACCATATTTGTTTTGTAGGACACTCTTTGTCTGCTCCTTCTCTCAACTCCAAACACTCACTTCTATTCCCTAAAGTCTCCTGCTTCTGCTTGCTGTTCACTCGCCACCGTGTTTCCATCCGCATTTTATACCTATATATCATCCTCCAACGGATACTATACTTGAGAGTTGAAACCAAACTTAATCTTAATTTGTTTCTTCTATATGATCAGAATAAATGAAGATCAAGTTAAATCAGTTTAACATTACGAGAGCATAATTTCTAAGAATATAAATTATTGGAAGAATCTTTTTTATACTCTCAACATCGAATTGATCTAGTATATAGGTTTCGTACGTATACAGTACCAAACATGCAACACTTTGATTACGATGATTGAAGTTTTGGAAAGAGTGCTATTTATGGAAAATTATCATTACACTTGACACTAGTAAATCACAAACTCACAGGGTGGAGGTGCATGTTAGCAACCCCAGGCGCATCATAAAGATAAAACATTCTCTAAAACTTCCTTAACTTCTACAACGTTTTACTCGGTAGATGAAGAAAGAAGGAAACCCTTTTAGTTCCCTCCCTTTCCTAATCGTCATCTGAAGTTTCCGGGTCGGGTAGTTTGTTTAAATCGACCGCTTCCCATGACCCGTTACACCTCTTAAACTCTTCCTTACTACTACACTCGTTGTGACCATCATTAATACGATAATCACTATGATTAAGACTATGATCATCATCCACGTACTCATGACTGCCACGTGGTAGCTGTTGTTGTTGATGATGATGATGGTGATGATGACGTTTCCCTCCCGCCGCTTCTAACGCATCCACCTGAGCTCCAACCTCAGCCGCTTTTCTCCTTATATACGCCGCCGACATATCCCCACCACCGTTTCCTCCCTCCACCGTAACGCCAGCTAAAAGCTCCGGGAAGTTGAGGCGAGCGGACGGACCTCGGAGATAGAACACCGCCGTGTCGTAAGCTCTGGCCGCCGCTTCAGGAGTAGAGTAAGAGCCAAGCCAGATCCTTGACCGTTTGTTAGGCTCTCTTATCTCCGCTACCCACTTCCCCCACTTCCTCATCCTTATCCCTTTATACGGCTTCTCTCTCCTCCTCGTCACCGCCGCCGACGCAACCGTTGAAGTAGGAACAGCCGCCGCCACTTCCCTCGCTGTCTCCATATGGATTTTTGTCCTAAAAGCCACGTAAATATCAACTTTCCACCGATCTAGAGACTTGCGGAAAGATTTAGAGAAAGAAGAAGATGTGAGTTTGACGGCGAAGCGATTACATGCGGAGAGAGGTTTGATGAACACGTGGGACAAGAAGAGTAGAGGAACACGAAACCGCAAAGGAGGAGTTCAAAAGATCACCGACACTAATCTCTTAATAACTTTCGCATATATATTTTCCTTTTCTCTCTATATATATATTCTAAGACAGAGACAACAATCTCATCTTCCCTGACAATATTTATATACGCATTTAGATAAAATACTATTTATTACTATCTTGTCTTTATTGTTTGGGCGGAATTAAATTATTTGTGTGTTCAATACGCTCATGCACCTTATTTTTTTTACTAAAACTCGTCGGCTCTTTTCATTGGATGTTTATAAAATTAATTTCCATAGCGTTACTATACAATAAAGGGATTTTAATTAAGCAAATTAAGATTAAACATACCTCAATTCACAATTATTTTTGTAATAGCCTATGCGTCTAGTTTATTTTTCCTTTGCCTCTCTAATTAATAAATTATCATCGGCACCCATAATTATGAGATATAGGTGTATTTAGAACTGCAGTTTACATATGAAATTAAGGATGAAACTCAGGTTTAATTACCAACATACGATTGAATTTGTCGCTTTGAAGTAAAACATGTTTTCATCTTCTATTGTGTAAAACATGTTTTCATCTTCTATTGTGTAAAACATGATATACCGATCTTGATTCATGATAGATGCATGTTGCAACTGCATTATTTTACGTTGCTTTTGAACATGTGTGAATATGTTCAGCTGTGTAGAAAACGAAATTTGGTCCTACTATAAAAATTTCTTAAGTTCTCTCGACAAGTACTATTCATTTGTAGTGAACTTATGTTATACTAGAATATGTAGGTGAAATAGTCAAATCGTGAATAAATGGAAAACCCTTAACCAGAGAAAAGTAAATTTAAAAGCAAGTAAACAGAGGATATTTATTGATTGCATGGAAGAGGAATAGTATTGACGTAGGGAAGTGGGTCGATGTTGTGGAATTTGGGAAACAATAATAAATGGATTGATAATTTTAATTTGTTGATGTATTAAAATTATACAGAGATGTTGAAGCAATATTACGATTATTTATCTTATTTATTGCTTTGTTGCGTTAAAACATTTAATAGGGAAGAGGACGGTAATGACACGCGTGTCTCCTTCCGTTCTGGGGACAAGTTAGTGGGATTCCTGAGGTGCTTTGTCTATTCTGTTTTTTTTTTCTACATTACTATTAAGATCATTTCCAAAAATATTAATTTTAAATTTGTAAAACTTCATATTTGAAATTTGAGGTATTTTTTCAAAATAAAAATTTCAAACTTAAGTTTAAAAGTATTTTTATTTTATACTATATTTCTTATATTTGTTATAATTAATTACTTTGATAAATAATTCTACATTAAAATATAAAATTTACATATAAATACATGATAAATATGAAATTACAAGTAAATTACTTTATTATTCCATAAATTATTTCTTTGATGTTCTCATATATGATCAATAATTTTCAAATAAAACTAAAAATTTATAATTTAAAAAATAAAATTTAAATTCATATAAAAATTATTTATATGATATAAATTTTTAAAGATTAAAATTAATAATAAAATATTTATAATTTATAAATTTTATAAACAATAAAAATTATATTTAAAGTAATAGGATTTTTTGGGGATGTTCTAAATATTCATGTTAACCTGTTGTAGTTTAAAATATTAAAAATTATATCACTCTGTCAGACACATCCTTGTTTTATTATTTTTTATTACGATATGAAACTTACTGAATTTTCCGACTTTTCTAAAATTGTGGCTGTGGTTTATTTATCGGTAATCCAACCTTAAAGCGTTAATTAGTTCAACTGAAACTGTCGCAATCTGAATTCCAATTGTGAGCATTATCAGAATTATTGCAAACAACAAATGTCACTAGTCACACTAAGCTCTACAATGTTTTATTATAAGAATAGAATACTTTTTTCCTATAAAAACATCAAAATAAAAAAGGTTTAGGTCGGTGGTCGGTGGACATTGTATGGCGTTTGGAAATAGACGTTCCATCCACGCAAACGCAATAGCGAGCGACGTGCTTTATTAGGCTAATACCCTTCTGAATAAGTAAACATTGTCCTTTTATTATGGAATTAAGGCCACAATTGTAATTCAGAAGTCCATCTTTTACTCTTCGCAAATATTTCAAATGGCAAATAATTATTTTGATTCAGTGAAAGTGCCTTTGGAGTCTAATGCTTGAGCCACACCACACATTACCAATAGTTAATATATTAAGCCTGAACATTAGAGCACCGACCTAATCAAAATGTTATACAGTCTTAGTTTCATATTATTGAAAGCTTGAATGCGTTGTAGATCGGCTGTTCTATGGACCCGTTTGTGTTTATGTATTAGATTACTTGTTATTTCCAATTGTCAATGTAATTGCTTACTGAAACTGATTGTACCATTTAATTTAAAATATATCGATACATATATGATTAAATACGCGCAGGTTGGGGTTTAACATTTTTTTTGTTTTACCGTGAATCTTTTTATAACATCCTATTTTTTGATATATATGTAAAGGTTTAAACAAACTGATTTTAGTTACTAGGTGTTATCAAAATGCATTTTTTTAATCACATGTCTATTTAAAATTATAGAATTAAATGTATTTTAGCTAGAATAATGAAAGAATAATATATCAAACAGTGATTCGCGATATTTTGTAATGAAACTAAAATACAGAAAAATGTTTTGTGGTGATTTTATGATCAGTAAACGATTTTTCCGAATCTCCAAAAGATTATGCACTATTCATTCTTTAAAATTGGATTCATGTATCAGTATTTTGGCAGGCTCATTAACCGGTTAAAACATTATAATTTTTATCTATATTTTTTTATTTTATTAATCGAAGAACTGTAGACATGCTCAATTTTCTCAGTTTCAAAATCTTAGAGCAAATTTTCGTCTACATATATTATAATTTGTTTAGCAAATACGGCATCAAAAACGTTATTACGGGTGAGTATGTCATAGTTTTTCTTTTAAGCATGTCATAGCATGAATTATAAAAATTCAGTTATAATAACATTAGCAAAAAAAAATATAACTCAAAACGGAATTTTTCAACAAGAGACATACGCGTAGGTCCATATTGTACGTGAATATTATGTGGCCGACATTGAGGTCATGACAAACGTAAATCGTATTGGTTTTAGTTTGGATGTATAGTCATTATGTACACCACAAGATCTTACTTTTGGTAGTATTATTTCATAACCGTGACCAAGAGCATTCTATATTTTTGTTTTAGTAGAATACTATTTGTTTAACTGGGAGTTTCGGATATTTCATACATGCATAACCTTACTGTTTTACATATATGTATATAACAATTTGTTAACAATATTGGATTTGTAATCCTATTTTCAGGCACCAATCATATGTTATACAACACATTCAATTTAAGGTTTTGTGTTCAGTTATTTATGACTTAAGTTCGGATTATAGCTATAATATATAACTTATATGAACAGTTTCTTTTGGGTGTACTTCTAAAAAATAAAATAAAAAATCATTCAATAATTTATTGCACCCAAATATAGTACTAATATGTAGCTCGATTACAAAACGTTTTACATAGTAATTTGGTTTACTTTATATTGTAAAAATAACACCACGTTTGACAAACGCTTTTAACTGCTCAGAGCCATCCGGATTTATCCCTTTCACCTGTTACACTAAAATGCTAATGTCTTCATCTACAATATTTACTAAATATTATTTGGGCTATTTTTTTTCAACATCTACTAAGATTATGAAATTTCTATCGTTTATTACCCAATACACCTTTAGCACAATGCAATTAATATATCAACATCATATTATAATTTTATGGATGCTAGCGAATAGTCAACATTCGTTCTCATATCATAATCTTTGCTAGAATTAAGCGTATTTCTTATATAATAATGCAGTGGGGATTAGCTGTGAACTGGTTGGCTCATGAACATGCCAGTTATCCAAATTCAAAACTTTATGCAATCTTTTGGGAGGACATACAACAGAAGCAAACCCTCTTTGATGACCACAAATATGTACTCTTTCAGTTTCAGTTATATGTCGCTGTGAATAAAATTTTCATTTCAAAATAAGTGTCGTTTTATAGTTTCGATGCAAATTTATTAACTTTATATATTTTCTATTATTTTATTGGTTGAAATATAGTTAGATATATGTATAGATAATTGTATTTTTATTTTAAAATATGTAAAATTAAATATTTTCTTAATCCATGTGCAAAAATGTAAAACGACAATTAAAATGAAACGGAAAGAGTATAGTTCACCGTACATTAATCGATCTTCCCAGCTATTTGTATTAAACCTTGATAATTTCGTTATAGACGTAGACATATAGTTTATCCAGTGATGTATTTAAAAGGACACTACTCGTGACTTCTTTTCTCGACTTGGATTCATTTTATGGAACCTCTAACTGTATTGTATACAGTATATATAAACACATGCATTCTTTAGCATTTTGCCTCGATTTACCCGATGAGCGTAATGATCAAAAGTGATGTGAACCTAAACGCTTGCAAGTATTTCAGGCAAGAAAAAATGTATGTGTTTGGTTTTAAATGTATTTAATTGTGATCAGTTTTGTTATATAGATGCGTCGTCGCAATTTCCGTCAAGGCGTAGTAAAGGTGCAATATTTGCGAGTTCCATATAGTGCTCCTAATGTCTTCACAATGATCTCTATTTATAACTTTTCATAGTTAATTATGCTTTTAGTTATTAATTAACTCTTAGAGGCTAATAATGTAATCATAAAGTAGAGAAACAAAAAGTCGATTTATCATTCTCATAGTCCGTTCTTTCAGGATGTGTAGATGTAATAATTGTACTTCGAAGGTCAAAGGACACATGTGAAAATTAATAAGACTCGTGAGGTGCTGAGGGAGGTGTAGCTGCATTTGTCAAGATCGTAGGTAAAGTACATTTATATTGTCCAAAATCTGGTTATTCGGCGTTTCACTACTTGACTTATTACATGCGACAACTGCATTATTGAAATTCAATTATTGACTTGTTTATACACCTGCACTGTATTTATATGAATATAAAACTCAATACCTTCTCTTAACTTGAATTTCAAAACAAGTTTATCTTTATGTCCCTTATGGAAACATAAGATAAAATAATACTATCTTTCTTCTAGTTAGGGATATTGGAAGACCCGACTTGGTTGACTCGATTTTTACGTTTGAGAGTTAGCTTTCGTCTGGTTTCTAAAAATTCAACGTAGTATAATGTAGTATAATCAAAGATCATTTTTTTTTATAAATTTTATAGGCTGATTTAGTTGATCCCGAAAAAATATATTTATTGTTATAAAATGAATTACTTCTAAATTTTTGTGATCCGAGTTTGGATTCCCTCTTAACTAATATCAAAAAGTGAATCAATCATATTTGTTACCGTCAGGCCGGGCCTGGTTACCGTACACCATGTAAATCATTTGATGCTCAAGCTAGACTAATCTAGTAGTGTCAATGATCATCTTTAATCGATAATATATATCTGAAAATAAGTTGTTGATTGATTGTTTCATGAAACAGCATAACAGATCGGTTTTATTGCTATAAAAATCTTAATACGTATATGGGTTGATAGTATTTTCATATCACCATTATTTAGTGATTATAGGTTACTATACTTACTGTTAACCAACTCTAAATCCTGGAGAAATATATTACATATGTTGGGCTAATATCAACAAACGGAGAAAAGTTAGTGGGCCTATCATGGACCAACAGAAAAGTATATAAATGAGTTGAAAGCATTTGCATATCTATAGTTATTTAATGATTATTGGTTATTAGCTAGCTCTACAATTTGGGAAAAATGTATTACCGATGTTGACCCAATATGAACAACTTGAGAATGTTAGTGGGCTGATAATGGGTCATATCAACTGTAATCATGACTTTGTATAACAAATCTTACAGAGTCAAGTTAAAAATGTGGATTTACTCTCTTTTTTTTTAACATGACCTCTACCTTTACCCAACCCAGCCTAAAGACTAGAGAAGCATTGGTGGCGCAGAGTTGTCATGTGTTATGCTTTGTCTGCAAGTGAAAACGAACCGATATCAATCTCTAAAACCTCCTCACCAAACCGGTTTAGTTATTTGCCTTCATTCACACTCAAAACAAACCGAGAGAAAGCAATCTTTAAACCAAAATTCACCAAACCGTGTGCCACTAAACTCGTGTTCCCCGGACCAAACGTTTATGACATGGTTCGCATGTCCTTATCATGGGCCTTTCCCAACGGCCCATTAAACAAAACCGTAATCATATCATTTACAAATTAAACTTTTCCCAAATCCGTGTATATTCCTAAGTAATCACTTTTTAATGGTGATTAATTACAACCGAATGAATTCATGAAAAAAACAAAACACATTTAAAGTAGCATTTAATAAAAGTTTTTCCACAAAAACTTGAACAATTATCATAATTAAACAGACCCTAACTTTACTCAATTAGGGAGAGTAATGAAAGTTTTAACCACCCAGTAACAAGTTGACACGTGTGCATCGTTGTCGTTTTCCTCTGTTTTCCTTCCCTTCAATGGCGTTGCATCGAAGCATATTCAGAAGGTAGGAGGGAGCAAAGAAAGAAAGCGATAATCAAACAGATTAGAGTCGTGACTTTAAAGTAATCTTAATCAGATCTTTCCATAAAGGACGAAGCTAAAGTTGAAGAAGAAAGAAAGAAGTCAACGAGAGAGAAGAAATGAAGCTCTCAGCTCTGCATCAAAGCTACTTAAACCGTCGCAGCTTCAGATCTCCGTTAGATTCCTCCGTCGACACCTCAGGGAAGTCTCTACTCGCCGTCTTCTGGCTCGTCCTCCACTGCCTCTGCTGCTTCATCAGCTTACTCCTCGGCTTCAGATTCTCCAGACTCGTCTTCTTCTTCCTCTTCACCACTCCTTCTTCAACGAACCTCTACTCTCCTCCCTTTCGTCCCCCTCTCAAGCACCACCACAACAACATCGATCTGAATCCTCCATCTAACGCGACGGAGGCGATGATCAAGAGCTCGCGAGTGGTGGTAGGGAGACACGGGATCTTGATCCGTCCGTGGCCGCATCCGGATCCCGTGGAGGTGATGAAGGCGCATCGGATCATTGAGAGGGTGCAGAGGGAGCAGAAGACGGTTTTTGGTGTGAAGAGGAGTAAGACGGTTATTGCCGTTACGCCGACTTATGTGAGGACTTTCCAGGCTTTGCATTTGAACGGTGTCATGCATTCGTTGATGCTTGTTCCATACGATGTCGTTTGGATCGTTGTGGAAGCTGGTGGTGTTACTAATGAGACTGGTGCTATTATTGCTAAGTCGGGGTTAAAGACGATTCATGTCGGGTTTAATCAGAGGATGCCTAATACTTGGGAGGATCGTGGGAAAGTTGAGGTCTTAATGAGACTTCAAGCTTTAAGGCAAGTCTCTAATGCCTTTTTATCTGTTTGAGTTGTTAAAGCTGATTGTTTGTTTAATGTGATTTAGGGTTGTGAAGGAGGAGAAGCTTGATGGAGTTGTGATGTTTGCGGATGATAGTAACATGCATAGTATGGAGTTCTTTGATGAGATTCAGAATGTGAATTGGTTTGGTGCTGTTTCCGTTGGAATATTAGCTCATTCGGGGAATGCGGAAGAGATGGTTATGTCGATGGATAAGAGAAGAGAGATGGTTGTTGATGAGGAGGAGGAAGAGAGATCTTCTTCGTTGCCAATACAAGGTCCTGCGTGTAACGGGAGTGATAAGTTGATTGGTTGGCATGTTTTCAATACGTTGCCTTACGCGGGGAAGAGTGCGGTTTATATAGACGATGTTGCTGCGGTTTTGCCGCAGAAGCTGGAGTGGTGTGGGTTTGTGTTGAACTCGAGGTTGCTTTGGGATGAAGCTGAGAGTAAGCCGGAGTGGGTTAAGGAGTTTGGTTTGTTGAATGAGAACGAAGGTGTGGAGAGTCCTTTGTCTTTGTTGAATGATGCTTCGATGGTGGAGCCTCTTGGAAGCTGTGGAAGACAGGTTTTGCTTTGGTGGCTTCGTGTTGAAGCACGCGCTGATAGCAAGTTCCCTCCAGGGTATGTCCTTTTGCTCAAGATACTGTATCGTGTTCATTAATCATCTTGGAATCCTTGGTAAAGAGTGGATTAGTATTAAAAAGATAGTTGGAAAAAAAAATTTAGGAAGCAGGTGTGTTTTAGTCACAAGTAATGTAAGTATTTAGATTAGGAAGTAGTTAGTGAGTATTGACTAGTATCATATCTTAGTTCCTAATCTTTACCAACCATTTGAGCTAGGCTGGCCCAGTCTCATCATTAGTTGACAAGTGACTCATGTTTTGATCTTACATTGAATGTGTCTGTGTGTAGTATAATACTTGCTGAGTAAGAACAATCTAGACAGTAAAAAGTTTTGTGTGAGAAGATGTTTTGGTATCATGTTAGTGAATGGTTTTGATGTTTGGTTATGTGTCTCTTGTTTCTATCAATGCAGATGGATAATTGATCCTCCGTTAGAAATCACAGTGGCAGCTAAACGAACTCCATGGCCAGATGTTCCTCCTGAGCCACCTACTAAAAAGAAAGATCAAATGTCATTATCCCAAGGCAACACCGTAGTGACTATACCGAAACAGCATCAGCAGCAACAGCAACAGCAACAGCAACGTGCTAGCAAAGTCCGGAAACCGAAACGTAGAAGCAAGAGAAGTAAACACGAAGCTAAACCAACAGATACGACAACACAAGTTTCTTCTTCCACTAAACATCATCAAGAAAGAAACTGATGAAGAAGAAGAAGAAGAAGAAAGATCCTCTTTCTACTATTTTATTATCATTCATTTGTTTGCCAAAGTTTTTTTTTAGAGAAATGTCAAGAGATCATCTTATTCTCCTCCATATACCGCAAATATTAAGATCAACGAAGAGGAAGCAAGACCCGGGAAAATTGGATTATGATGATGGAGCTCCCACGACAAAATGGGTATACGGGTTTTTAGGGGAATGATGATCATTCGGTTATTTTCAGTTTCTTTTCCTTTTGGGTCTTTATAAAAACTTGTCTGTAACAAAGGATTGTTTGTTTCAATGTTCTTGAGGTGACAAAACTTTGGGTTGTATAGTTTTTTTTTGTAAGCATATTTCTCAATCCATTTATGTTTTCTCCCCAGGGATCCCACACTATGGATGGATGGACCCAAAAGTTCAAAGCCTCAATTTATCTTCTCTTTCTTATATAAATCCATTTACTCCTTAAGCAAATAGTAATACTTAATAACTTTTTTTTAAAAGGATGGAGATGGAGATGGAGATGGAGACATTGGAAAAGATACCTTCGGGAAAAAAAAGAATTGTGAAGAAAGTAAATACATAACAGAATATTATTCTTTTGTGAAAGTAAGAGAATTGAAAGTTGAGACAAAGACTGCAAACAGATTCATAACTGAAATAATGGAGGATTGGGCGGTTTTGTCAGAACATCACATGTCTTCTTTAACCACTTTCCCCCCCCCACTTTATTAGATTTGTTTTCTTAGTACACTGCGGTCATAGCCTATAGGTATGTACTTTGACCACTATAGATAAGATTGAATTAGGGATTCTACTATGGTTCTGAATGGTAATATGCGAGATAATCTCGGAACAACTACGATACGATTCAAACAATAACAAAAACATTTTTATTATTATTCACAGCGATATGGAACGAGGCAAACTTTCACATCTAATTATAATTTTTATTATGTTTTCAACATCTATTTTCTTCTGATTAGATTTGTTTAGATGTATTTTGTTTCACTTCAATTATTTAGGTTTAGAGAGAAAACACAAGATGTAAAAACTCATTAGTGAACCAAAATTGCAGTAGGTTTACTAAATTAATGTGGGGTTTTCATATAAAATAAAATAAAATAAACCGGAGGGAAGTGAAATTAACCAACTATAGTAATTCAAAATCTTAAAAAAAGCAAACAGTCGGTGGAACTTCCATGCTTCGTAGCTTAGCTGCCCATACAAAATGATAAAAAAAAAAAACAGAATTAAAACAGAAACGGTCACCTTCAATTGTACCATGTCAGAAACACGAGCGAGGCACTTGTGTTTCTTAAACCTTACCAAAAGCCACCACTGCGGATTGAAACTTGGTTAAAGACACCTCTTTGCCTCCCATTTCCTCCAATCACCATTTTTTCTTGTAAGATAAAATGGGTCATAAAATATACTCGTATGAGAAAGGGTCAAATGCAACGGTCAGGATGGGCACCGCCTCGTGACAAGAGGATCTGCCGTGAAATGGGAACATCACGTCCACCCATTCATTCAAGATTCTTCTATATGAATCTTCAACTTTTTGTTAATATATCTATTATATATACATAAAGAGCTCTATACATATGTTGTATATCACAAACCATCAAAAAGAGACGACGCATAATAGACGTCACAAACTATAAAATCAGACTACAGATTTGAACCATAACGTAATAGTGGATAAAACTATATCTTCTAGTGGTCTATAAATATATAAGTGATCATGTTGTTTCTATATATCTTTAAAACAGAATTTCTAGATAGATTTCCCCATACCTAATTAAACTTTTTCTAGGTAGTTGCAACTCTTCCTTGTATTCATTATATTCTAGCTTGGTTGGTCTCATATATAGATTCTTGGAAATTGATGTAACGTAGATTCAAAAATTTACAGACATCCATATCGATTTGTGGATGTCATTATGCATGTCTGTGGATTACATCTTACTAGATACGGAGTATTTAACAACTAATATATAGGTCTAGTATTATACTCCACCCAATTTGATTCAATGTAAGAATTAATCACCCAAAAGATGAACAGCTATTTCTTAAAAAGTTGATCCTCAAGTGACATCATGCTGCTTCGAAATGCTGAAAATATTTAATGGTATTCATGTTCCCATGTGTTCGGAACTGTAAAGCACACTATTTGCGACTCTGATGATATATGTGGTCGGTAGCCAAAAAAACTGACGCGGTTAGAAGCGAATCGTTTGTTTCGCTACTAACGACGTTATAAAGTCAAAAACAAGCCGCTTACAAGATGGTTCTAACCACTTAGAAAAATAAGGGGAAAACGGCCGATTAGTACCTGAACTATGATCATATTATCTGATCAATACCCAAACTATTCTACTGTGCCAATTTGTATTTGATCTAATATATATTTTGAATTTAGTACCTGAACTATGGTTATATTATCTGATCAATATCCAAACTATTTCATTGTGCGGATTTGTACCTAATCTAATAAGATTTTTGAATTTTGTACATGAACTTATAAAAACTAACTTTTACATACATGTGACTAACAACATGTCGGTATTCTACTGAGGTGGATTGGTTTCTTGATGAGTTAATGTTGTTTCAAAAAAAAAGAAAAAAAAAAAAGAAAAAGAGACAACTTAATTAATTCGAACCCGGGTCCCAAAACATAAACATAATAATGACAATAACCGTTTATACTAGAATAAATTCGTCATTTTGTTGTATCGAAACAACTATATAACCTTTGAATGGTGTTTCCGTTCATCACAACCATGTCTCAAATGATTCATCAAATCTCTTTATGTTTTGAATTCATATGATCATTTTTTAATCTCGTTTCATCAAATCTTATCAAATGTTTTCATCAAAACAACGATTAATTATATGAAATTTGATGAATTATTTGAGACATGGCGGTGACAAACAACAATTAATTATTTGAGATTGATGAATCATTTGAGACATTGTGGTGATAAACAGAGACACCATTTCAAGGTCATTTGGATCTTATCCTTCATAAGCGATTAGTAAAATTATTATGAATATGTTCGGAAACGGGGTCGAACCAAGGCGGCCTCATTTTTGTTTTCTTTTAATTATTTTTTGAAACAACGCTAATTCAACAAAAAACCAGTCCACCTCATCAGAATATCGACATGTTGTGAGTCGCAAGTATGTAAAAGTCAGATTTTATAAGTTCAGGTACCAAATTCAAAATTTTTATTAGATCAGGTACAAATTTGCATAGTAAAATAGTTTGGATATTGATTAGCCAATATGACCATAGTTCAGGTACTAAATTCAAAATTTGTATTAACTGAGGTATAAATTCGCACAGTGAAATAGTTTGGGTATTGATCAGACAATATGACCATAGTTCAGGTACTAATCGGCCATTTTCTCGAAAAATAAGTGCTTTGTATATAGATATATCATTATCTTCTGCTATATGGTAGCTATTTAGTCAAATATGAATATCTAGATATAGCGTTGATCAAACATAAACAATAAACCACGGAAAAAAATAACAGCAGACAAATATTAAAAAATGATGTTATTATTTACACTAAACTACGTATGTCTACGAGATTATTCCATAAGAAAAGAATAGTAAACTCTTTGAATTACAGACGAAAGTTTTGAAGCCCGTAGATTTTCGAGTTTGACTTGTATTTAAGAGCAGGATACTGTTTAAGTGTTTTCTTCAAAAATAGAGCACGATACTACGATGTTGTATCTGAGTAAAAATAGTTTAATTATTTTTGATCAGTGAAATGTATTTCGTTTCTTTATACTATAAGGATAAAATAATTACTTATAAAATTATTATTTTTATTTCTAAAATCAACAATAAATTTCTTCCGGTCTATTAATACACACGCGTAAGGTTTTTGAGTGGAAAACTAAAGATATTATGTATTTAGTAATTAATGTCATTCATATTTCGCCCAAAAAAAAATCCATTTGCAACGTCCACTATCTTGCATGCCCATTATTACTTTTTATTATAATACCAACTTAAAATATTAAAAATACCAAAACTTTGGTTATAAATAGTTCCACAATCTTATCCCACCAAAAATCAAGCCATACCAACTATCAAAACTAGAAAACAAACCAACCAAACATACAATATGGCTTCGTCACCAAAAATCCTCTCTTTACTTCTCTTATACGTCGTCATTTCATTAGCCTCTGGTGTTGAGTCCATCATCAGTGACAACCATCTCAATCTTCCATCTGACGGCTCCTGGAGAACTGATGAAGAAGTGATGTCCATCTACTTAAAATGGTCTGCGGAGCACGGGAAAACTAACAACAACAACGGTATCATCAACCAACAAGACAAAAGATTCAGTATTTTCAAAGACAACCTAAAATTCATCGATCTACACAACGAGAACAACAAGAACGCTACGTACAAGCTTGGTCTCACCATATTCGCTGATCTCACCAACGATGAGTACCGGAGTTTATACCTAGGGGCAAGAACCGAACCTGTCCGCCGCATCACTAAGGCCAAGAACGTTAACATAAAATACTCTGCCGCAGTAAACGACGTGAAGATTCCGGAGACGGTTGACTGGAGACAGAAAGGAGCTGTTAATGCCATTAAAAACCAAGGAAGCTGCGGTAATTATACTAATCTATACGATATTTGCGTATTTTTACAAGATATGTATTAGACTTACAAGATTTATCTTTATTTAAAGATCTCTTTTCTTAATTGTTTAAAATATTTACTTACAAAGTAGGTTTATACGTAATATTTTAACCATGGCCCATAATAATTTTTATTCGGTCATGTATTGACATGTTAGATGCTTTAGTGTCAACTTTATCTTCTAGGAGTAAGCTTCCATAATACATAGTAATTAACTTTAATTTAAGTTTTTTTGGTAAAAATGTAAAGAACTTTATCTTTTTTTTTTGTTTTTGTTTTTAAGTTTTGAAAACTTAGACAATCTTCTAGCTTTTGTGTTAAGATTTTTCATGGTTATTTATTTCATCTAAAGATAACACATGTTGTTGTGTATTGACTATTGATCTTAACATTTGTGTATGTTGTTTTTATCGACAACAGGAAGTTGTTGGGCATTTTCGACAGCTGCAGCAGTAGAAGGTATAAACAAGATCGTAACAGGAGAACTCATATCTCTGTCCGAACAAGAACTTGTCGACTGCGACAAATCATACAACCAAGGCTGTAACGGCGGTCTAATGGATTATGCTTTTCAATTCATCATGAAAAACGGCGGATTAAACACCGAGCAAGATTATCCTTACCACGGATCCAATGGCAAATGCAACTCTTTACTTGTAAGGAAAACAAAAACAAAAAACAGAGTAAACAGAGCAACACTGTGTTTTTTTTAATCATTGTAAGGTAACTGCAAAAATCCGATTCTTTTCGTGTTTGCAGAAGAATTCAAGAGTTGTAACTATCGATGGATACGAAGATGTTCCTACTAAAGATGAAACCGCGTTGAAGAGAGCAGTTTCATACCAGCCTGTGAGTGTTGCTATTGAAGCTGGTGGAAGAGTTTTCCAACATTACCAATCTGTAAGCGAACCGATTTTAAATAAACCGTGGAGAGGGGTTATTTCAAACCGGGTTTTAGATTTTGAATAGCCGGTTTGGTTTTTGTTTGGCAGGGAATCTTCACTGGAGAGTGTGGTACAAATATGGATCACGCAGTTGTGGCTGTTGGTTATGGATCAGAGAACGGCGTTGACTACTGGATTGTAAGGAACTCTTGGGGTACACGTTGGGGAGAGGATGGTTACATTAGGATGGAGAGAAACTTGGCGTCGTCTAAATCTGGTAAGTGTGGGATTGCGATTGAAGCTTCGTATCCGGTTAAGTACAGCCCAAACCCGGTTCGTGGAACCAGCAGTGTTTGAAGTTAACAAAAGGAAACACAACAATCAAACCGGGATTTGTTATAACTGAATTTAAACTCATATGTATGTATAGTATTTCAAAAAAAAAATTGGTTCACCATAGGGATTTAAGCTATATAAATCCCTATGTTGGTCGATATCATTTCATTCAAAGAATATTTGCTTTTGCTTGATTATGTATTTAAGAGAAATATAATAAAATGATATATTTCTCGTCAGCATTGGTTTGGCTGGTTACAAAGATGTGTACAGTGAGTTCAGTTTTTTTTTTGAACAAACAGTGAGTTCAGTTAACAGATTAGATAACCAAGACAACTATGTTAGAAAGGGTGAAAAACATCTCTGTCTGAAGCAAAGAAAAGAAACATGAATGCAAAATAAAAAAAATAAAAAATAATAAAAATGTACATAGAATCAATGAAACTAATTAAGCATTTCATATGACTGTTTATTCATTGCCAATATGTAAATCACAACATATTTGAACATTCATAAGTATTCTTGACCTGAAGGAAGAAGCTAAAATTCTTCTCAAGCGTCAATCACTGGTCTCCACTGACGGGACAATACTAATTGGATTATTCATGTTTGAATGAGTAATGGAATTTCGTGAAAAAACATACACGAACTTAAAGATTTTTTATACACTGAAAAAGTTAGCAAATGAAATATTGACTAAACATGTTTCAAAAAAGAAAAAAAATAGATTGACTAACAAAAAAAACATTAATTAATGATTCATGTAATGGAACGACGGAGACTTAACAACAGAAGAGTTAGGAGTGAATCTTTCAAGAACAGCCAAAGATTCCTTCATGGTTGGTCTCTTCTGAGGAATAGGAGACGCGCAGTTATATCCCAACTTCAAACAAGTGAGTAGAAAGTCTTCTTTGTCAAGTAACTCGCCACGGATCGTCACGTCGACCATTCTCAGTGCATGGTGCCCGTCTTCCACCGTCAGTCCATTCCCAAGCCCAACCTCTTCAGCTGAAACGATCTTCCCCGTCAGAAGCTCAAGGAAGATCATTCCAAAGCTGAAAACGTCCCATTTTGGGCTCGGTTTAAGGCTCCGGAAAGACTCCGGTGCGCAATAGGGTGATAACGGGCCCAACGAGCTAGGACTTGGGCTTGGCGTGGGCCCAATGGAAGAGAAGTCCCGTGAAGACGCCCTGGAACGCATGCTACCAAAAATCCTAGAAGACCCACCAGCTCGGCTGTAGCTTGTTTCACCTGTAAGAAGCCTCTCGAGTCCTAAATCACCAATTTTAGGCTCCATGTCGTGGCCCAATAGTATACTACTGGGCTTCAAGTTCCCATGCACATGCTTCTTCTCGTGGAGATAAGCTAGCCCACGTGCGATGCCTTTTGCTATCTTAAGCCGAGTTTCCCACGGTAGATGATACGACGGCGAAGACGACACACCTCCTTTTCCTGCCCAAAGTTCAAACACGTTAATCAATAAGAAAACAAATGTAAGCGCATTTTAGCACATTGTGACCAAAAAAGCGCATTTTAGCAGACGACGAAACGTAATAAACTCACGGTAACGGGGGTTAACGAGGCTGCCGTTAGGGACAAAATCGTAAATAACCAATTTCTCGTCGCTACCCCAATAGAACCCACGGAGTCTAACCAAATTCGGATGAACCAACTTCCCAATCGCTCGAATATTCGACTCGAAATCCTTAAACCGGCGTTGACTCAAACCGGTCTCACCGAGCCTACGAACCGCGTAAACCGTACCGTCTTCGAGAACAGCTTTATACATTATACTCGATCCCCTCGCGCCTAGAATATAAGCAGAAGCCTTAAGCAGAGTCTCAATCTCCATCTCTTTCTCTCCATCAACGGTCACTAACGTCCCTTGCTTGTCCGTTGATGCATTGTAACCGCCTTCTTCGTCCTCAGACGGCGTCGTTTCGGGGTCTTTACGTAGACACGACCATTTAGTGAATCTTCTTGATTCGTCTGGTGAAGTAGAAGAAGATGACGAAGATGGTGATAACGTAATTGTATCCGTTGGTTCTTCTCTTGGCTTGTTGACATTGTTGTTGTTAGCAATGTTCTTGTTCTTCTTACATCTGTAGATGTAAAGGAGAATCAAAACGAGGATTCCGATTCCCGCTATATCTCCAATAACGATCCCGGTTATGACTCCTGGTCGTAAACCGGTTCTGGGAGTCCGGTTCTTTTGTTGTGTTGTTGGATTGTTAACCGGGTTTGAACTGATTGTGTTCGGTATAGCTGCGATTGCCGGTGTAGACGTCGGTGAATCGGCGTCGGAGATGACTGACGGTGAAGAAGAGATCGGACACGGGTCGCCGCATAGACCAGGGTTACCTGTAAAGAAATCTGATTTCTGGTTAAGGAAAACCGGGATTGAACCGGTTAAATTGTTGAAGGAGAGATCAACGGTGACGTTTTCAGGGAAATTAGCACCGATCCCCGGCGGTATTTCGCCGGAGATTTGGTTGAACGAGAGATTCAAGTACCGGAGACTATCTCCGCCGAAGTCCGGTGGTAACGAGCCGTTGATCAGATTCGACGACAAGTCTAGAAACTGAACTTCTCTCCACCCGCCGGGAATCTCGCCGGAGAAGTAATTGCTCTGTAGTGAAACCGCCGTTAAGTTTCTAAGAGTTACTAAATTAGAAGGTAACTTTCCCGCCAAGGCATTGTCGGAGAGGTTAAGGGTTTGGAGGTTGTGAAGATCGCCGATTGAGGAAGGGACTTCGCCGGAGATCATGTTACGGGAGAGATCGAGTCGCCGGAGCTCTGTTTTGTTGAAGAAGGAAACGGGTAACGGCCCGTTGAAGGAGTTGTTGGAAAGGTCGAGACTTTGGAGGGAGTGGAGAGAGCCCAAGTCGGAATGAATCGAACCCAAGAGCTGAGAGTTTGGGAGAGACAAGTTCACGACTTTGGAGTCGTTATTACAAGAGACACCTCTCCAAGAACATGGAGTTTCGTGGTTGTTGTTCCATGTCTGTAAGAGAGACAGAGGATCAACGAGAACAGAGGACTTAAAGTTCATCAAAAGCAATCCATCAGAGTTTAAACCAGAAACAGAACAGAGAAAGAAGAAGAAAAAAGCTGTAATTAATTGCATTTTCATGGCTTCATTACTGTTGTGAAAGAGAGAGAGAGAGAGGAGATGTGAAGAGAGTTAAAGATAGAGAGAAACAGCTCACGTAACCAAACACATTACTCTTCTTGCTCTCTAAATGCTATCTCTCTCTGTCTTTGTCTGCTAAGAAAAAATAGTGCAGAGTTTCTTAAATTCTATAATCAATACGAATACACACTTCTTGTTGCAGTCTTCTTCATTTACTATATAAAATATGTTCCCTTTACAACTAATATTTGTACTTTTTTCTCTCTCTTTCTTTACTGAACCGAAGAAGCTGAGTAGGTTAGGTTCTTATAGTACTAGTAAGCTACAAGACTCTATATAATCTGCAGTTACAGTTCTGCTCAAAGTTGTAACGTTTTTCTAGTCTTCATTTGACTTTTATACACAGATTCTCATTCCTTCTGTGTTTGGTTCACACAGCCAACCCAATATAGCTCGAAGAAATTTTAATCGAATAGTTTTGGTTCTATTTTACTTTTAGAAGTAAGGCATGCTCTGTTTATGTTTAAAGAATACGGTTATCACGTCTCTGTTGTCTTCCTTTTTATGGGGATTTATTTTATTTCTGTTTGCTTTGCAAGTATTTTCCCTCTAAATGGTTTTCATGTGCTCACTTATTATTATTGTGATTTTGTACCATATGTTTATTTCAGTTGTCCTGAAGATTCTGCATTCAATTTCTGTACGAAATTATGATTGTCTTCAAGCAATATGATTAAGTAGAGTACTAAAATATATTTTTTTGACAGAAAATGGGATACTCTAATTTCAAATATTATAAAACTATTGCACTTGAAGCCTAAAATACTTCAAAAAATTTCCTCTCTTAAGCAAGTAATAGCCAGAGTATAAAATCAACGTTTGAACTTATAAATAAGTCAGCTAATTTTATCATTTAAAACATCTATGATATTTTTAATAGAATTGGTAGACTGAGATAGAAGGATTGGAAAATTGGTCATTATCCCAAATTTCCGTATGAATTATTCCCAATCAATCGTATTGTTTTATAATAGTAACAAATTGTACAACATATCAAAACATTACATTAAATATCATTAATATTCAATACCTACCATTATATATCTTAAAAGTTCCGGATATGTTAAATTTTGTGTTTGCACGAAGTGGGTAAATTATATTTATGGCATCTAGTATAAAACAAAATGTGTAAATGTGTTTTCAATAATTGGATTTAAGGGTGCCACACGTGGTCCATAACCCATCATTCTAGTCTCTTGCAATTCATTTCTCTGTTTTTTTTACTTTAGATGTTTTAAATTATTTAAAAACATTTTCTTTTGTAAAGTTGGAGGTGATCTTTACCCACTTCATCATAAAATACAATGTTTAAGTTGAAAAAGATTCAAAAAAGTTGATGAGATACACTTTAAGTCTTTAATTATAACGAGTCCAACAGTAAAAGCCACAAACCCAGCCTTGTTAGTTTGTGGTGGACCACTATTTTTCATTTTATATTTTTCTCGGACTTTAGAAATTGCATCCAAGATTCCCAAGTCTTAAGACTACAACTTAATGACATTGAGAAAAATTCCTTACCAAATCAATTAGATTGACATAGAAAAGATCAAAGATAGGGATTCAATATGTTAACTACTATGGTAGTCTATTTTTTGCTTTGTTTTGAGCGCTTTTGTATTTAGATAATAGATATCTCTAAACGTAGTATTATAAAGTCACGTTTTGTTACGAACTTATCCATCTGCGTTGATTTATGCTTTTATCTAGGTTTTTTCCATCTGTAAATTTCCATTAAAAACAAAAGTTGATCATGATAAAACGAAAACAATCAGTAAAGAAGGTACAAGGCATCAAACAACAACACAAGACTTACAAGGCTACAACACAGGTTATAGCACTAATGAGTCACAAAAAATCTCCATAAGCTTTTACCTACGTTTTAGTAGAATTAAAAGAAGACGAGGTCAAATCAAATGATTCATGATTTTAAAGTTGAAGTCTTTGCTTTAGTAATCCAGTCAGTTCTACTTCTAGTTGTTTTCCCTTCCCCATTACTCTTTTATTTCTTTATAATCATTTTGATTTTGTTATAAGGCAATTGCTATTCGAATTGTGAATGTATAGAAAAGTGTTGCAAGATGATAGAAATACAGAAATAAGAACCAAGTTAAAGAATACAAAATAACATAAAGTACAGATTCGAGATTGAGAAAAATATACTAGAAAGAATATTAACGTACATGCTAAAATCGTGAAGGCTTGACACCCCCACTAAAGTAGAGGGAAACACCAAGTTACAAAGCAGAACTGCGGTTATAAAATTGTAACGGCAGGGACATTCCTCCCTATGTGTTAAATTTTATAATATCCGTTATTTCTATATCAGTCGTACGTATAATTTTTTCATATAAAAGATTACCGTATATATACACTTATCTTTTGGGCGTTCCACGTATATCTTAAATTATGACATCTTGACCTTGGAATTAGGGTTTATATTCCTCGTTTGAAGCAAGATGCAGGTTAAGTGTATGAATTCCAAACTCCGAACCTATTTTTCATCCCTAATTCTTGGATCATGTTTTGTTTTTGATAAAATAATTCTTGGATCATGTTCTTCCTCTACGCTTTATTGTGACTGAAGTTCTAAACTAATTATAAACATGTGATCCGTTCTATAGTTAGGGAATTAATCAATCAAAATAGTCCCTCTATTTGGTAATATTTGATGTTAGGGATAAAGTAAAAATTTTAAGAAATTTACTTTTAAAATGAAATATTAAAACTATAAATAAAGACGATTCAACCAATCATTAAAGAGAGAGACTGTAAAATATAAATAAACAGTCCAAATATTAAAACATCATCTATATGTTGAAACAACACAAATATTCTAAAACATCATGTATTATGAATATCAAATGCAATAGTTCTCAAGTGGGGGACGTGTATTGGAAATAATGAAAAATAAAATTTATTACTAATTTAATAGAAATAATAATTACTATTGAATAGTTAATTAATTTAATTACAACTAAAATTAGTCTTCTGGTTATTGGTTAGTGGATAAATCCCGCAATTTCGAGAAAAGAAATACAACTCGAAATATGAAATTATATTAGCATAAATTCTTATCTTCAATTGTATCATTAATCTTATGCACATCTAACTCTAATTCCCGGAGTTGAGTGGAAAACAAAAAGAAGAAATAACCAGCTGTGTACTAGTGTATAACGTTGTAAAACACACACGCACAAAGTGATGGGACAATTAGTATGGGCTCAATTTTATGAAACATTTAGGGGCCGAAGTATAATCTCAAATTTTCTACATATATGGCCCTTGAAGGCCCAAGCTTTCATTTTAATCATGAAAATGTTGGGGTTTACGTCTCAAGCTGAATGGAGACATTATAACCAGACCCTAAATAATAGACATGCTAAGTTCAAAAGAAAAAAGATAATAGCCATGCCTTGTAATCTATTTAGAAAAAAAAAAATAGATGTACTTGGAAGGACGAACGATGACAGGTGACCAAACAAAAACTGCCCACAACATTGGCTTTTAAAGCTAACATTCTTCTCTTCGGCCTTTCCTTTTTTATAATCAATTTACTTTATTCCTAGAACTACAAAAGTTTCTGGTTTATAGCAAAAACGTAAACTATTCATTATTATATGAATGTTAGCTTTGGCCAATAACGACATTCGACAATGTCACTGTCAGCTTTATTCTCAAATTATGTATAATCTATTACGTAAGTGGACGATTTGTTTAGCAGTGGTTGTAAAATTGTTAGCTACATGAGATGCTTTTTGTTATCGATAGCTACTGCGATACTGTTTTCTTTTATTCAAGGCTCATGCGAAGTAGATTTAGTAAAAATGTTTTACCTTATATGTTATTTATTTGATAAAGTATGATTGCTATGGTGATACCACAAAATTATAACTAGACATCTAAAATTTACTAATGGTTTTCTAAAAAAAAAAAGATATTAATCTCTATTTCAATTTATTTACTAACAGAAACAAACAAACCATGCCTGTAGTTAGTATTTGAAACGCGATTTGAAATCATTGATACCATCTCTAATAGAAAACTAATTTTCCTTCTACATTTTACTGTAAATGGAGTAATTCAATTATAAAGTTAAATTTATTCAAATAATTCAATCTATAATAGGTTGCTCTATTATATTGGTCCATTGGAGATGTCTTAAACAAAGTCTATACTTTAGGTAACAGGCTAATATTGGAGATAAGCTTGAAATTTGCGAATCTAGAATGATGCAATTAGTATAATAACGATAGTCCACTATATGCATCACACAGTTATGGATCACTAACCTGTTTTATCGAATAAAATATAAAGGGTTTCTTTATGAACTACTTCGGCCCGAAGCATTCTCCGTTTGGTTTTGTAGAAAAAGTGAGCCTAAAAAGGTAAACCAAATAAGCTAAAATAAATAAAGTGAGGCAATAGTACGACTCATACGGCGTAAGATGTCGCGATAAAAATCATTATGATATATACTTTGTTGCCTTGTTGGCCTTCAGATCTTTAGACGATACCAGCATTTCGAATTTGAAGCAGTATCGTAAACGTTACAAATAATGCTTAGACTTGATGTATTTTTAGTTACATTTTACATATTGTAAACTACAAAGTTACGCTTATTTTGAAATACTTGTGTAAATAGTCATTCGTTTATGGTATTTTATCAATGTTATTACAAAGTGCGAATCTTCCATCTTGTTCTTGCCATGAATCAGAATCAATCACAAGGAATCGTGAACAGTCTGATCTTTAGCCACACATACGACAAGTGTCAATGGATGACGGAATGATGTGGGCATGTGTTCCACGTGCCTTTTTGCCAACGGAGCAATAATGCAAAACAAACACTGACTTTGGGAAAAAACAATAGTGGCCGGTGTGGATGGATCTGTTTTCTTTGACCGTAGAGAAAGAGATTGTAAAAAACAATAGTGGCCGGTGAAATTAATCCGATGCATAACCAAAAATTCAAAATTACCGTTTCTATAACATTTTACACGTGAAAGTGTTTTATAGAATACTGTTTATGGAAATATGATTATTTCATAAACCTAATGGAAAAAAAAGTAGCAGAAATCATCATGTGAAACCATATATAAAAGATAAAAAAGAAAGTCTACTATAAATAAAAGTAGCAAATAAAACCCTCTGAAACTGTCCACATCAGCAAAAATAATCCACCAATCAGAGAAATCACTTCTGCCACGTGTACAAAATTGGATAACCTTGGGCTCTCTTTCTTTTGTATATTCGTTTTGGTTAAAGCATTAGGCCCCTTAAGCCCATAATAGAGTACACCCAAATCACTACACGTCCTCTCTCTCGCGAAACCTTTCGCTGTTTATTCGACAATTGATTTTCTCAACCGAGGTCGATCAATCGACACAACTCTATCACTCCATCTATGTACAACAAATCCATCATTTATTAATTCCTTTCGCCTTCTCTTTATATCATCTTTCTTCTCCAAATCATCTTAATTCTCACAATCGAAAATCAAGATGAATTTCAACAACAAATGCACTGGCGATCTTACCTCGAATAAGNGACAATTGATTTTCTCAACCGAGGTCGATCAATCGACACAACTCTATCACTCCATCTATGTACAACAAATCCATCATTTATTAATTCCTTTCGCCTTCTCTTTATATCATCTTTCTTCTCCAAATCATCTTAATTCTCACAATCGAAAATCAAGATGAATTTCAACAACAAATGCACTGGCGATCTTACCTCGAATAAGTCGAAAGGAAAGGCTGGTTTCTCCTCCGCCGAGCCGATCAAACCTCCTGGCCCAACCGGTGTCTCTCCCGTGAAAGCTCTCACCGGCGATCCTAAGTCGAAGAAACCAAACAGCAAGGCCGTTTCATCTGTAGGCATATGAAAAGCTTTCCATGAAATCGAGATTACTTGCTACCAAAAACTCAATGCAAAGAGATGTGCCAACCAAACAGCAAGGCCGTTTCATCTGTAGGCATATGAAAAGCTTTCCATGAAATCGAGATTACTTGCTACCAAAAACTCAATGCAAAGAGATGTCCCTTTGGGCACATCTAAGTTTCCCAGATTTGTCTTTAGGTATTGTGAGTTTAGCATTTATTTTCAATTCAGTCATCATAAACAATCTGTTTCTACTTCATCGCATCATGACCCTTTTTTGTCTGCTTGATTCCTCATCTCTAAGGTTTGAACGGGGCTGTGTGTGTGTATTTGAGAGATTGAAATCTATGGCCGTTTCCAATGCAGTCCATGTCAGTTCGAAGCTTCAGAGATGGTATCGGATACAAATGATCAGTCTTCTTCGCCTGCCGATTTCTGCGTTGCGAGATTCTGCGTCCAATGCAGACAGCATCTCCGATCCGCTGCAGAATTTTAAGGAGAAACACCACAGTCCAGAAGACTACTCTCTTCTTGCAGCCATTCCCTTGTGAGTTCTTTTTCTGTCGTTTTTTATTGTTAGATAGTCATAGCACCACCAACTGTGGTCACAGAAAGATTGTGGTTGCTATTAACAAATTATTGTCGATGTTTCTTCTAAAAAAAGCAAATGTTTGGTTTGCACATGAGTCATACCAAGAAGACATTTATTGCAGGTTTCTCTTCCCAGCTCTTGGAGCTTGGCTTTTTGGTTACGAGATTGGTGCAACTTCTTGTGCCATTATTTCTATTAAGGTAACAGCTTCATCTTTTCCTAAAACTGTGCTTCGGTTATTCACACGCGCATCTGCAGTGGCATTGTGTGCCCTTGATTTTATTACTGCATATGTATTCGTTTAGTTGTCTAAGCCCTTTGCAGTTCTGGTAGTTACTCTGTTTTTTTCTTTACTGTACAGTATCCTACGCTAAGTGGGATCTCATGGACTGTTTTTGCTCTGTGCCGTCAGATTACCGAATTGATTGTTGTGGTAGACCCTGGATTTAGAAACCTGCCAAGCTCACATGTAACTCGCCATTCAGGAAGTTACGAGATAGCTCGCGTCTTATAAGAAGGTTAGCAATTACTTTTTGGCATGGGAGATTCCTAAATCAATTTTTAGTGGAAACTTCATCGAATCATTTTTATTTTTATCATGGAACTATCCAAACAGTACTGGGGCTCATCTTCCAAAACAAACGTACATGCATAGGATCAAACCCGAAGGGCCACCTACTTACAAGTTACTCCCCTAATTTCTGTTGGTTTTCTCTTATTGGCTGCGGAGCTTTATTAACTCAAGTAAATGGCCAGAGAATCCCATTATTTGAGTATCCAAGGGGTACTTGACTTATAGCCTACTCAATATTTGAGTCATAAATTTGTTAAAAGGATCGTGCTCACTTTATTTTTTCTTTGTTTAGGCACACAAGTGTGCAAATGATTTTCCAGCCTGATTGGTGTATTCCTCTAATCTATGTTCCAAGGGTATGGCTGTTTGTAGCCGTCTTCTTACGGAGACGCTTCGGGTACAGGTTCAGTATTGGGACGTCTTTGAAAATTACCTTGACTTTGATTTCTCTCACTTATTTGATTAGTGACAGTATCTGGTCGTTACTCTAAGGAGGATGTATGTGCAAGAACGTGGCTTTGTAACAGGTCTGACTTCTTTTTCACCCATCATCCAAAGAGCCATGACGATTGTGGAGGCAAGTACCATGTTCTTCTCATAACCGCTGATGAATAGATAAAGAAACCTGTGTTGGGACTGGAACCTGAGTTCAGTTATAAACATTCACATTTTATATAGTTATTTTCTGAGCTTTATATTTTATAGGTGACAAGAAGTGTTGATACAGAGCATGTGGCAGTCAGTCCACAAGAGCAGCATACCATTGAAATCAATTGGAAAATAAACTATATTCTAACAATCAATGGATCCAAATCAATCAGCTCAAGACTTGCATGTATATCTTCTCTCTATATATATATTTGAATTGTCAAGGACTACCCTCAACGTTAAAATTGTCCTTAAGTTACTTTCTCTTAAATGACAGGAGATGTATGGGGACTACTTGAAGCTCAGATCAAGAGTTGAGATCCTAGAACGTACACAACAGTACTTAGCGTGATTCATTACATATCTTGAAAAGTAAATGCTTGCTCCAAGTCTCCAGCTAATTAACTCTTCTGTCTTTAGGCATTTGCTAGGTGAGCCGGTATGGGAGTGGATGAGCTTGAGCAGCTAGAACTTCAAGTAGATACATCACTGAGGCAAATAAGATCCTTAAAGGTATACGCAATCTCAAGAAACCACAAGCTTATATTTGATTTGGTCCAAAGAGAATTTAGAACAGTACCAAATCTTGGATTTGTTTTCTCATTGCCAGACCCGTTCGATGCGTGATCAACTCTCTGACCTCAAAACAAAGGTACATAAAGAGCCTCACAGTGTTCAATAATCTCGATATAAAACTCTAATATTGATTTATTTACAGGAGGAAATGATATTGGAAACCAACAGAAGTAGTGCTATCAAAATCTTATATGAATCAGTCAAGGAGTGGGTATCTTCAGGCCTTCACAGGGCAATGTGGCATTGCAGATGAGGTATTCATCATAGAAAAACAGTGAAGACCCAATCAATCGACCTTCTATTGTCATCCATAATGTTTTTATGGATGGTCTGAAAAATACATAGCAATCTATACGTATGTGTGTTCTATAGACAACATATCATGGTTGTGCCATTTTTTTCCAAGAGAAGAATAGTTCCATGATTACAAAACACTAATATAATCAAGGCTGTAATGTCACGCTCCATATTATTTCTTTTTGCTCCTAAAATATATAAATATTTTTGAACTTGATAAAAATACAAAAAATTGTGGGAGCATTCTTTTAATTATTTTAAAATATTGTAGAAACTTTAGTTGGATTATGATTAAATTCTCTGATTAGAATTAAATGGTGAAGCAAGTAGTGCTCTGCATTTGTATATCTATCAACGTATTATTGATTTTTTTTAAAGATGTGTTTGTACATATATTCACATGTATGTACTGAATTAGATTTTCAAATAATTGGCTTCTAGAACTTCCCATTACTGCATACCATTTAAATCAATCGGAAAGTAAACTATATTCTAACAATCAATACTTCCAAATGCATATACCCTCACAACAAACGTCAATTGATTTGAAAAGATAGTTTAACCGAGATAACAAATAGGTAATGCTAATATTCCGTGCGGTAGGGCTGGGAAGTATTACTTGATACTCAGTTTATACTCTTGCTCCTTTGCCTTTTTATTGTTAATAATAACCCGAAACAGTTCATTTTCCACACATAAAAGGGTCTACAGTTTTTATGAAGTCATGAACTATTTTTCAACTCTCTGTTCTTGCATTTGTTTAATAAATAATGAATAATGACTTGTGAAGTTAAGGTGTTCTCCCATAAGTTGAGTTTTAAATTTTAAATACATAAAGACTATATTGTGAATTACATTTTTTCCTTTACTCTATGTTTTCGTCCTTTTCTTGTGTTGTCAATGACTAAATGAATAAAAATCAAGTGGACCACTTACTTGGATCACACGACAACAAAAATAATTTACGTTTTTAATACAATGGCTTTCAAGTTGCTTGCTATGCAAAGGGGTTGCTTGCTATGCAAAGGGGTCGCTCGGTCCAGACAACAATAATACAATCAAAGCGAATCGACAAAAAAATTGGTTCGATTTGTTGTTAGTTAGGTTTCATTTTGTTTTACTAATGTTTTTTATTTTGTCATTAATTTGGTTATTTCGATTTGGGTTTTGGTTAGTATGGTTCGGAATTTTGATTAAGGTTGGTATTATTTGGTAAAAAATAAACTTAAATTTATATATTACATTTTATTATTACCTTCAAACAATATATTATAATATTTGGATTTATGATTTAGTAACTATTTAGGGTTTAATATATAAGAGGTAAGGTTGACTTTATAAACTTCAATAAATATTTATAAAAGATTTTCAAATATTTTGAAATAATTTAGAAGAGTTAGTTTAATTTTTTTTTCATAACAAGCTTAAAATATTTATGAAAATAATTATATTTTAAAAGTAAAATTTAAAGGTGATATAAAATTTATGGTAAAAAATAAAATTATTCTAAATTTAATAACATAGAATATGTATAATTCACATGTTGTATAGAAATACTTTAGTATATAGCATACACTAGACGACACTTGAGTCATGTTTTGATCGTTTTTAGCATCTAACAATCATTTTTATTATTTTAATACAAAATATTTCATAAATAATAAACTGTATGAAAAATAACAACCCAAATCACAATAATTATTTTTTAATAAATATTATCTGATTTGTATTTAATAATCTATTCCGATTGTGCTATACAAAATGTTGATTAAAAGGTATTTTATTTCCTTTAATGGGGTCACTAGGAAAATTCACATATCAGCAGTATAAAAATATATAACCAACATTTAGTATCAAATATCTATAAGGTCTTTTACCTTCATTCTTGAAACATCGATGATGCAAAATGAAAACCTCATGAAAACTAATAATCTTAAAAAGATAATATTTAGCCGAGAACTACTTATAGAAAATAGTATTTAGTAGAAATATTTAGTTTTCATAACATAAGAACCTCATAACATAAGAACCTCATGATCGAAGGGTTGGACTGGTAGAGGATGTGATTTTAGTTATTTTGATTTTGAATGTATGTTGTAAGTTTTTTTTTGTGACTTTAGAATAGATTGATGTAAATTTATATTAATTACTTTCAAAATACTAAATGTATATATATTTTAAAAATGATTTCCAAAACCAATATATTTCCTAATTTAACTTTTGCGCTGTAGTTTTAAATTATTTTCTTACAAAAATAATTGATAAATCAAAATGATTGTAAAAATAAAATAAAAAGTAAAAAATATCCAGAGCACTTACCAATTACCTTTAACAACATTTATTAAATTTCTGAAAATATTCAATAAATCAACTGTTTACCTTTTATCAAGGTGATAAAATTATTAGATACAACACTTTTAAAATTGAAAATTCAACAATTTTATTTTTCATGTGTATTCCTAGAGGGATTGATTCTATTGGGAAGAACTTGAACTTTTAGTCACTAATTATATAATATGATATGGATAGGATGAACAAAATAGTTAAGAAATCAAAATTTTAAATTATTGGAGTTTTAACTAATTTTACTATAATACTATTTTAAATAATGTAATATGTGTTTTTATCATTATTTACGTTTTACATTCTTAGATGTGAAAATTCTTTTAATAATTTATATTTGTCAAAGTTTCCAATATATATTACATCTTTAAATATAAATAATATTTTAAAATAAATTAAAATTTTATGAAAATAATCCCGGGCGTAGCCCGGGAAAAGGATCTAGTANTAATACTATTTTAAATAATGTAATATGTGTTTTTATCATTATTTACGTTTTACATTCTTAGATGTGAAAATTCTTTTAATAATTTATATTTGTCAAAGTTTCCAATATATATTACATCTTTAAATATAAATAATATTTTAAAATAAATTAAAATTTTATGAAAATAATCCCGGGCGTAGCCCGGGAAAAGGATCTAGTAGTCATAATACTAGCAGAAAAAAGAAAGTAATCAAATAAGAACATGATTATTGCAGTGTTATTAATGAAGCATTAAACATATTATAAAAAATAAATATTTAGAACTTATTTGATAAAAAAAAAATATATCTAGAACTTATTATCAGAGGTGGTGTAACGTATTTAAATTTTAAACTTATCAATTACGGTTGATAATACTTTTGAACTGCAACTATATAAAACGTTAGACATATATTTTCAAACAGAAGTTGTAAACCATTTTTTCAAACAAAAAAAATTGTAGACCACAATATGAACTATTTCAAGACGTGTTTGTGTCCATTATCTACAACTTTACAATTGATCAAATGGTAAAAGTAAAACTTATCATAAACGAAATATAATCTAAACTTTGACCTCGCTTGGACTAGAAGTCACACTTATCAAGTATTAGTATCAACATTTTCTTGACCAAACAGGCACAACAACATACTACTGCTGACCTTTTGTCTTGAATCGTGTTCGTTTGTTTCTGTGGTCGACCTTATAGCGGTCAAAGTAAAAGCTCATCTATACATGTATAAAACGGCCGTGGGATATAATCAGTATCAGCCTTGAGGGAAAGCATTACAAGCAATAGCTTCCAATTTTCAAAAAATATTTGAAAAAACCAGCCAATTTTAAAAGAAAATTATTATTATGGTATATAAACGTTCTTATAAATATGATCAATTATTTTAAAATTGCTTTTGGTCTTTCCCATGTCAGGACCGATATCGGATATAATAAACAACATCAATTTTAGAAGGTGCAAATGTAATTTACAATCACTAGAGAGTGCGGACGTCATACATATATAAACTTTAAACTAATCTTCCCCTACCTTTTAACATGACATATAAACGAAAATGTAACCGGCTTACCTTTCGTGCAAGCGTCTCTAATTTTGCATTAATACTTTCCCATGGTTCATCATAAACCCACATGTTAAGCTCTCTTCTTTATCCGAAAAAATCATAAGTTTGGATCATGTATATAATAACGAACGAAGTAATAGAGAATAAAATGAAAATGTGGGTGGCGTGGGGATCAAAGTTTTCACGTGTGTCGTAACAATAAACCCAACAACCATATCAATGGAGAAGATCTCTTCTAGTTCACATTTCAAGTGTTTCATCCTCGAAATGACTTTTATGCCCTTCCGTACCACGTCAAAGTATATGACTTTCGTATGGTCAAATTTGTCCGCCTATATCTTTTTTTTAATTCAGTTTTTATAGTTTTTAATTATCTCTTCAGTATACTTGTCGGTGCGGTGGGAAGCAAGTCGCACGTGTGTCTGCTTAAACCGCGTCGCCACCGTCACGTGATAAATCGTTTCTCGTACGTGTCTTCTGCGGTTGAAAGCTTGATTATGGTTTTGAAAATAATATGCTAGGACTGATGTTTTTATGAATTTACATTATCATCAGTGTACGGGTAATTGTTATTTGAATACACTGCGGGCTGTTGTCATTGCATATACGCTATGAACGACATGGAATACAGTGTGTGTAGTCAGGACTGTGTGTGGCGTGTACCCTTTTGAAGCATTGTACACGTAAATATACATGACCTCTCTTGCGATTGTAGCATTTGTAAAATCAAACGTTGAAAATCATAAGATTTATTCTTTTCTCCTTAAGTATTTTAATCGCACGAATCTTGGTTTCTTAAACAAACATAACGGTTACCTAATAATATTCCATTCCTTGAATGAACTTGTAAACCTGTCTTCGTTAGGTTCCAATTACGAGATATTCCAGACAATATCGTTTCAACAAATCTCTGATTTTGGATTACTAGATTTGTATTAAAATTATGAACTAATCATGCATGAATAAACATATATTCATATGATTGGTCTCAAAACATACAATGAACAAGAAATCATCTTATAATTATAGAATGTTGTATTTGTAAGCTATTTTTGGGAAATTTCATTCCAA